ATATTTTAAATTTTTTTAATGATTGCTTACTATTGTCACGTGAATGCGTATGTCTGAGCTCCGGACTTAACAACGGCTGTTGCCATTTCCCTAGTCATATTTATTATATGAAGTTAACTATTTTGTCGTTCCTTTTTGCATTTAAAATAATCCCAATTGGCCATTTCATCCACATTTTATAGTTTAGAATTATATATATTTTTATTTGTTTTTTTTTTTAATTCTGTTTTATGTATTTTGATGAAGTCTTGAGGTGGAAATTTTTAAAATTATTTTATGACCCATTATATTCGTATGCACTTTCTTTTTTTTTAACCTCAAATATTTTTTATTAACCTGAACGAAACTTGTCACCTTTACGCGGTGTTCAGGAGATACAGTTATAGGTTTTAATTGCTTCATAAATCAGTTCAAACTTTCGTTTAAGCAGTACGACAAAATAAGTCAAGACAGTTTTGGAAATATAAATGTGATCTATGATACGTTAAAAGCTTATCTTTTGAACACTAGTTAATAAATATTTCAATTATATGATTTCCGTACAATTCGTTATCGGGATGATTAGAGCAGAACAAAAATTTTAATTTTGATATCTATGCCTTCATCATATGTTTCCGACACCGAAAATTATCCACATAATTTGTCCAGTTTAAACTGATTCGTTATGAAAAATGTAAGTATTACATTGCACTTTATTTAAGTTATTTTGTAAAGTTATAGTAATTTACAATTTTTTAAGTATTTTAAATGCAACAATCTACTACTTCGAAATTGATATATATATTAGAAACAAATTGAAAAATTTTTTTTTATGCATAGAAGTCCAGAATTCTAAATGATGGTGAGATAACGGTCCAATGTCAAAAAGATGATGTAGAATTCTAACTATTGAAAGAAAAACAAATAGAAATAAGTCTGTAGAATCATGAATAAGATCCATCACCGTTCTTCAAAAATTTTAACACCATATTAATATTTTACTAAATACCACCTAGATTGTGCAATTTCAAGAATTCAAACTGAAGCTTATAATAATCATCTTATAGAGCTGAACATTATTCTTCATCATGAAGGACAAATTTGGAGCAAATTTTGCTGGACACACATTGATGTCAGCTTTCTGGATATTAATAGTTCTCAGAAAACTTATGGAATTGGAGTTAACATTACTAAGAAATTTAAAAATGTCAAAGACCAAAAAGAATAGAGGCACATCATAGTTGCGCTTGCACACTCGTTATTATTAGGATTGTACCTAATAAAAATTTAGAGCACAGGCCTAACGTATGGGCATATACACAGGAATGGGCACTAATGTCTATAAAAAAAAAAAATCTGGACACTTGGGAGCATCGGCATATACGCAAAATTTTAATAAATTTATTTCAGTTATCAATTTATGAATTATAATTTACAGCTAATTTCAAAAGTTGCGGAACATGGTTTATTGGCACTGTCGGATTGTTCGGAAATGTCAGCAATGTCAAATGATTAGAAATTTCTCGGCGCTAATTGAATTACATGACTTTTGTGTTTCTTAATCAGTGTTATAAATTCAAAAAATTTTTTATCAGCGCAAGCGCATATTATGTATAAATGGCATGTGCGCAAACTCTAAAATCATATGCGCATTTTCCGCCTAAACAATTTTAAAGATATGCGCAAAAAAAAATTTTATATGCGCTTTATATATAAAAGTAAAATTACAATGTGCACGCAAAAAAATATTTAGTCCAAAAATGAAATTACAAAAAAATTAAAAAATTTAATTATTTACAAAATTTCCTATACGCCTTACTTTTTAAATTGATCCAATGATCATATGTTTTTTCAAAATCAAAGTCTTTTATATCAGGACCATTAATTAAAATCATAAGGTGCTTATTTAAATTTTCTATACAAAACTTATTTCGGAGCTTTTTTTTATTTAGATTCTGGTGTGAAAAATTCTCTCTGCTATTACATTTGATAATGGAACAATAAGTGCAATTTTTACTAGTAAGGAAATGTAAGGGTAATTATTAATAAAATTTTTATCTACATCAAAAATATGTTTCCATGTTTCCACAAAATTATACTCTCTTTCATGAAAAAGTCTCTAAGTAAAATTTAGCTGAATTCTATTTATCCAACAGTTTTTCTTTATCAATAATTCCCACGAAAATATTACAATCAACTACTTTACTATCTCTATAATAGTTACCTAAAAATTCAATTTCTTTTTGTTAATAGGTTACCATTTGTCTTTCCATCTTAGAAAACAATTTAAAATCAAATACACTTAAGCATTATATAGATCAGAATCTGAAAATCTTTCTTATAAAGCTTTGATCATTGCTTCTGCATAATCTTTAATAAAAAAAAGGAAGGGTCTCTTGATTAAAATTATTATGGTTTATATAATTACATAAAATAATCCCATATGTAGGATACTTTCAAGAAAACTTTCAGAAATAGAATTAATGACCATTTTTAAATGAGGTTTGTAAACAGACTGAAAAATATTAATTAATCTTTTAGTATTATTGTCAAATCTGCTAAAAATATAGTAATTATAATAAAATCCTTATTTAATAATAAAGTAAATTCTCAGCTGCCTTTTTTGTTACAATTTTATATAACTTATTCATATTGTTTAATAATACATGAATTAGTGAAAATTCTAGCTTTAATTTTATTACCTCTATTAAATAATAAAAATAAAAATAATTATTCATTATTTATTATTAGTTATTAAAAATACTAAATATTATTAGGATATATGAACTGTTATGAGATCAGAACATTTATTACTATTGTGTTAGAAATTTTTTAATCAATATTTATAATAATAAAATATTTAATAATATAATTTTTAATATTAAATAAATAAGTATTATAAAATATAAAAATACACATGCTGATTATGCTATATGATGTTCAATTTACAAAGCTAAATATAAGCTAACTAATCAAATTTCTTTTTAACATATATAATAGATAATATATTTATAAGTTAGAATACTCTTTGTAAATATAAAATTAGAGAAAATAAGATCTCTAGCCAATATAAAGCATGTCTTACAAAACAATAAGAAAGCAAGTAGTAAAAAAAACTAAAATAAACTATTGATCAATGAATAAAATGTATAGTATATATAATAATAAAAAATAATACATAAGGTTAGAAATAGAAATAGATAAATAATGCAAAAAATATCTAAAATGTTATTATAAACGAAGAATATATCTAAAAAATACTACTAATATTATCTTAAATTAAGATTTAATATAAATAAATATGAGAATCAACAATAGCAATAACTATAGTAAAATCGTATCAAATTTCTAATAATATAGATTTATATAATAAACTACTTCTAGTATTCTAAGTAAATCTGATTAAAAACTCATAAAGCAATTTTAAACAAAAAATAAATTTTAATATTATCTTTGCTTTACATATAATAAAAGTTTTCTATTTATTATTCTTATAAAAAAAAATGCTGATATTACTATATTAAAATAATTCTCATAAAAAATTTTTAGCAGAAATAATATTGACTCAGATAAAATATCTTACAGATTTCAAAATTAAAAAAATATTAATTATTTAAGTTTTTCTCATGATATTAATATATAGGTTTTGTAGAGGTTAATATAAATATCATGACAATGTAATTAATTTTACTTAAAATGTTTGAGAATTTATCTTAAAGCTTTCTTAACATCTATCATTATTGAATGTGTTTATCATATATTATTAATCTGCTAATTAAGAAATATTAGAGATTTTAAAGTTAGTCATATTAAGGTTATTTATACATTAGTTTAATTAAAAAAAAACAATCATTATTATACTAACATAATTATTAACAATAAAGATTTTCAATCTTTACTAATTGATAATTCAATTGATAAATAGTTTCAAAATATTGCTGAAGAATCAGATTACCAAAATTATAATAATAATGTAGTTATACAAAGTTTTATTTTACTTATTCCTTCTAATAATAGTAAAAATATTACTATTAAAAACACACTTAATTGAATACAAGAAAAACAACCTATTATATAACCACAAATTAATAGCAATTCTGTTAACAAATTTCAGATGCTAGAATGTATTGTATATGCATTCCTATTTTTATATCTAATTAGATATATAGACCTTTATGCAGAATGTATTAAAAATATAAAGCCTACTGAATACTTCAAGCATCTTTTTATGTTTAAAAATAGAAGATTTACATATCATGCTTATTGATGATATTTGAATTTCTAAATGTATTAGAAAGTACTATAGAAAAGAAAAGTATATATTAAATAAAATCTTACCAATTTTAAAATTACTATTACAGATATATAAGAAAGGATTACTCTAAGTGATAACCATATTGCTAATAGAATCATACAGTTTAGAAAAGATTATGTGAATCTTATTAGTTTTAAAATTCATAGTATTACAAACTTTACAATATAATTAAGTAAATAAAAATGCAAGATTTAATCTTTTTTACATTTAATACTGTTAATCTATATTCATCAGAATTTTATAAGTTTATGCTAACTAATGGTAACTTTAAAATTTTAGCAAAATAAAATAATTAAAATATTATTAGTAATCCCTATATTTTTCAATAATTTATTTAAAATCTTCTTTAATGATATCCTAAAAGTACAATAAGATTTGAAGGATTAGTAATACAGATTTAATAATAATATCATAATAGTATACATATTTATGAAATCAAAAAAATAAGAAATACATTTGTAATAAAATAAAAAAAGATGAAGAAAAATGAAAATATAATAATTAAAGTTATATAATATCTTGATAGTTTAATCATTATGGTAAATTTAGAATTCAATATAATTATTTCTGAATGACATTTATACCAAAAGAATAGTAATAAATTAGATGATAATCAATAAGATTATATTGTTACATGAAAGAAGACATGGATGATGATGATTTAAAGGATGACGTCAATCCCTAAGAAATCATATATGTCTTTTATGTCATCTATGTCGTCTATAGCATATATTTCTTTTATACAATATATTTCTTTTATTTATTTTTATCTTATTTATCTTATATATTTATTATATTTTATTTATTTCATATATTTTATTTATTATATTTATTTCTTTTATATCTTCGATAACTTTAT